CATAAATGAACATTTTTTTTTTTTTTTTTTAACAAGATAAAGTATCTTCCCTGCACCACATATATAGTGCGTGATTGGGCAGCGTGGCGCAGAGTTGACACAGATGTTATGGTAATTTTTTTTTTTTCTCGTTTCGGGGGGACATTTTCTCTTTCCATATGCATGTCTGCAAAAAGAAGAAAAACACATTTGAAATTTATATACGGCCACTTGGTGTTTCGTGATTGGGGCCACTTTGCAATTTTCCATTTGTGGTTTTTCTGCCACCCATTTTACCATTTATATATTTGCACCCATGTCGGCACCCATTTTCGAATTCGACCCCCTTTTTCGAAACAACGCTTCTACTATAGCAGACCACTAACCACTTTAATTCTTATGCGTTAATTTTTTTTTTGTTAATTTCATAATTTCCCATCTCTTTTATTTTCCCGATTTCTTCTTATGTCCACATTTTCCTCCGTTCTTCACTGTCTTACGATTTTGTATGTACTCTTTTCAAAATTAGCGCTGTTCATGGGCATCATTTTAACCTTATTTATTTATATATATATTTTTTTGTCACGCCCTCTCTTCATACTATCACAGTACATTTTGGCCAATGAAAAAAGGAAGAGTGGCTACTTTGTGGCACCTATCCCTCTTCGTCAGTTTGTATGCCCCTATGGTTCACCGCTTGTGTATACATTCGTACGGGCACATGCATATGCATATAAGAACACACACTCGTAGCCGCCTACACATGGCCTACATGTTAGTGTGTGACCCATATTTTACTGCATGTATGGTGACAATTTTTTTTTTTTTTTTTTTCCTTTTTTCCATCTGGAAGTACCTCTGCGTGTACGTATTTACGCGCATCTGCATCTGCGGCACGAAGTAGACATTCCGCGTGTGTGAAAATGTGAGCAAACGATTTTATGCGTCATTTTTATGATCCATTTTTTCGCCTATTTTTTCCTTTCCCACTTTGTACACGTTTTTTTCGCAGTACACAACGTGCATGCGTTTTTGTTATGTCTTCACACGTGTTTACACAATTCACCATTTGAATGTGCGCTGAACACGTGAAATAACGTTGTCTGCAAAATTACACGTGTTCGAAATGCTGCGGTACGCATGTTGTATATATGTAACCTGTTGCCATTTGCATATGTAATAAACATATACGTTTTTCTTTTTTTTTTTTTTTTT